CTGGTACAGATCCCTGAGTGGGGGAGGAGGGGGAAAAAGACAGAAAAGCACCCTGTCTCCCTTTCTTCAGGCAAACTTTCCTCACCAGAGGGTGTGAGGTGGGTTCCTGCCAACCTGGCACTCCCTGACAGAAATAACAAAACCTAGAGTTCTTTTTAGGCCCTACAAACTTTTTCGCAGTGAGGTAAAGACTCGAGACTAAAAGATCTGATCCTTTTTTGAGATCCTTCAATTCCCAAATATTGCCTTCAAAGAAGAAAGGAAGTATCTTCTACAAGATGGGGAAAAATGTTTGGGTCTGCTTTTAACCAAGGGTAGGGTATTCCAGCCTAATTTGAACTCTCTTAGAATACGTTTAGGGTCTTGGTTTAGCCTCTCTGTTAATACCTGTAGGACCCCACCTTCTAATAAGGTCTTCTGATAACATGTTTCCACTAGAGGCTCCTAAGAAGGGACCGGCCTGGTATTCAATCCACAAATATGCCGAGGGCAATGATTATGTGCAGGCATTTGCTAATAAATGCAGGGCCTAGAAAAAGAGGCATAGCTTTTGTTCTGGAGCTTCTGAGACTAGTGAAGGAGACAGTCAGGTAACCTTAGTTCAATTATATTCATTTACTCATTAAAGAAATATTTATCAAGGGCCCATTAGATGCCAGGCATTTTGCCAGGCACTGGGATACCATGGTGAGCAAGACAGATTGGTTCGTACTATTATGGAGCTGACAGTCCAGTCATAAAGGGAGACATTAATTAAATAATCACAAGAATGAATGTGTAATTAAAAAATGAAGTAAGAGCTCTGAGGAAATGTTAGATGGTTCTGCGAGAACGAGAGGAACCTGACCCAGTTAAAGAAAGTCAGCAAAGGCTTCCTTGAGGAATTGGCAATTGAACAAAACGTAGGCGTTCACGCAGGCAAGTAGGGTGGAAGGAAAGAGAGGAATCGTGCCCTAGAGAGAGGGAACCGTGTGGGCCAAGATCCCAGGGTGAACGGGGCACAGGGGTTTCAGGGAAATGGAAGGCCAGTGTGGGGAAAGAGCATGGTGGGTGATGAGGCAGGGGGTAAGCCAAAGCTGGTCCTCTGAGCCCTGCAGGCCCTGTTAAGGCCTTAGAACTTTTCTAAAAAAGCAAAAGGGAACTTGTAATTACGGTTTGTAATTGAAGTGTAGTTGACATACAGTAGTATATTAGTTTTAGGTGTACAACATAGTGACTCGACACTCATATACGTTGTGAGACAATGGGGATAAGGCCTTGGTCTTTCCCCCAAGCAGTGGGAAACCACTGGATGGTTTCAGCAGGAGACATACGTGGCAATCATAGCCAGGGCTCCCGTAGGGTAAATGTGCTACTAGAGGGGCATATAGGGAATCAACTAAAATCTAAACTGGTGTGTGTGGTGTGGAGGGAGAGGAGTGGGTTAGGGCTGGAGGATGTGTCCACATCGACTTTCTGCAGGAGGCCATATCTGAGATGAATTTTTGAAGGGAGAGAATGACCTAGCCAGGCCACGGTGGAAGGTGGAGGGAGCAAGAGAGGATGCGTCTGGGTGAGCGTGAGGGTGTGGGGGGGGCTCCAGGAAGAGGAGGCCAACGAGAGAAAAGGCAAGAGGACTCATAAATTCCCATTATGCTTAATGCCTGACTTCATGTAGTTAATGGATTCATTTATTAGAACAATTTGTGAAAATCCCCAAGGGCCCGTGAAGGCTGGGCTTAATGGTTTTATCATGTCATAGACTTCCTTCACTCCTCTCCTCTAACGAATCCTGAGTAGGCAAGGAACTTAGGATTAACTACTGCTCAAAATATAGGTAAATTGTAAATAGAGCCCCCCAAAATAAGGGCTTTTTGTGCCTCTGGGGTTTCCTTCAGCAACAAAAAGGGATTTCACTTTTTGTACATTTCAGCTGAGTCACCAATCCCACTGCCACAGTCTATCAGCTTCATGTTGACTCAAGGCTGATTTTCAGGAGTCGACATGTTCTCCTCAGGTTTCCGGCTATGGATGTGAACTGCAGGGCAGTGAGAGCGATCTGAAGTCAGTGCAGCCACCCCCCATTACTGTCCCTCTTACTGGGGGCGAGAAGACAGAGAGCACAGTCATGGCTTTATAACTGTGGGGTGCACTGTGGTCGGGAGGAGAGGGACACCTGAGGACCTGCTGGCCTCTGGCCGAGATCTCCACAGTGATGAAGCCCAGGCTGTCAGGCTTAGACACACACGAGAGTGTGAGCATTAGGACAATCCCTGGCCAGACCTGGAGCTTCCAACCTCAGGAGCCTGCTGGTCTATCTGGTCCCCCTTCGTACCAAGGGGATAGAAGCAAGAATGCAAATGGATAGAGCCAAATTCATACCCAGCACTTCGAAAACGACTCAACAGAGACTCCCCACTGGTGCTAGACCTAGAAGGGAAGCCATCCTTGATGCCCACACGGTCAGGGGCACACAGGGACCTCCACTTGAGGAAACCCAGGGACAATGACAAACAAAATCCTGTCCACCAAAGACTGGCAATACAAATGGCTATTTGTACAGTTAAATGGCAACCACCAGCATATAATTATTGTCTCCTGTACCAAATTAAGTATACAACTTAGCAAGTGCTTGGGGGGAAAAAAAAACCCAAAAATATTTATTATCTCTTGGCTGTACTTTAAGGCACAGGGATCTGATCACTGTTGCATGTTAATGGAGAGGTGATAGGTGAAGATGCCCAAGTTTGGAAGAGCTAAACTGCTTTATATCAGAAGGAGATCCAGAAGCAAATGGAGGGAGCAGACAGAATGAGAGAGAGATTGAGAGTTTGGGCGAGGAAGGGCTGAGCAGAAAGACAGAAAGAGAGACCGTGAAAGGAAAAGGTGGGCCCACAGACGTAGAGGCTTATGGATGAACAAGAAGGGTTTGGAAGAGAGAGTGTGGATTTGGGAACGAAATGCAATGTACTCCACAAGGTGAAGTCTGCGGATGTAAATAACATTTTTGATCTGTTACTACATTATCTGAAAAGAGCTGGATGGAGTTTCACCATATGTGGAGGGGATGTTTGGGATGGCCTGACTTTAAATATAGTTTATGTAGCATATCCAAAATGCTCTTTGGGGGTCACTGGAGCGACTGCAAAGCATAGCTGAAACCGGGGACCATGACCGGCCCGTGTGACTGCAGATTGGAAGACATGAACCACAGATATTAAAACGCCTGGAGCAAAAGAAACAAACAGAGGCTTCCAGCATGAACCTTAATTCCAGGAAAATTACTCAAATTGTTTTGATTTATGATGGAATTGCTTTCCATGTGAGCAGCTCTATGAGGCCACCTTGGAGATGGATGGATGGATGGATGGATGGATGGTTAGTGCAGGGCATGCAGGAGGCTAGCAGACCTTCTGTGAAGCTCACAGTGCTCCCTAGAGCCTGGCGCTGTGGGGTCTCTCGGGGAATTGAGGACATGTCTGGAGTCTCGCTTCAAGGTTGACATGAGGACAAAAGTTGGTGAAAGCCAACATCTGGGTCACAAATGAACAAGCTCATGGGGGCAGAGACGTGCACAGACGTGCTAGACAAGAGGTAAAAATCCCACTTCCGGCAATGATACAGTATCAGTGAAGTCCCTTCACTTTTTCGTGGTGTTAAGGCCAAGTGACTGCTTTGTTTCAACACACTCCTTTTGAGGCTTGGCACCACCACCTAGAAGCTGTTGACCTTGGACAGGCCATCGAACATCTGTAAGCTTCGGTGTCATTTTAGAAAAAATGGGGATCATATAAGTGTCTGTCTCAAAGAGTAATAAGGAAGGTCACATGAGCTAACTTGTACCCCAGAACGTGTGAATGATGATGATCATTATTATTATAATTGATATTATATTGCTATATTTGATAATATACACTTGATATAATTGATAATAATATAATTGATATTACTGATGATCACCGTGTACAGCCAGCACCTGATCACTTTTGTAAGGAAGCTCCCACATAGTTTTCTGGCTCTTCTTTGCCTCTTTCCTGCATATCCCTGTTGTCACCAGTGCATTGTTCTCCTAAGTGGTGGGGCAAGGAGATGTTTTAAAATTCTAATGTTTATTACTTTTGCTTTTTAAAACTTAGCTTTGTGTCACTGATGCATTTTTACATGACGATATAAATCTCTATAGAGTGGGTGTCTACACTATTGGAGGATTATACCGTGTAATATGGCGGCTGCTGTGTCAGAATAAGTATGTCTCGTTAGAAAATAACGAGGAGGAAGACAGCCTTTGTACAAGGGACAGACCCACCTTCTCTGTGTGATATGAGGACGTACGGAAAGCTGGGGAAGGATAACTGGCAGACCCTTCATCATGATCTGTCTCATCAAGGTTCCTTTGGTACAGCGTCTGCCCTTTAGAACCCTCCAGAACACCTGCCATGTGCTTGTTCCCCGCTCCACTGCTGTTCCCACCAGTAAACCCTTGATGCATGAACGCTTGGCAGTCCCTACTGTGGGCAGTCTGCGAGGCCTCCATCCCTTTTCCTATGGGTCCCCAACAGTCAGGCTATCTGCGGGGCCGGCAGTCCCCAGCCAAAACAGTGGGAGGATGAAGAGCAAAACCTCAGTGCCGGCCTCTCGGCTTTTGTGGGTTTCAGCCAGGGCCCAGGTGTTATTTTAGTGCAACTCCAGTGTTTAATTTGAGAATATGTGTGGATCAGAAGGAGGGACCAAAACATTATTTTTTTTTTCCCTTGGCCAAGTGATTAAATTTGAAGTTCTAAAAAATGCACAGCCTGGTCCAAAGCTGTGTCCAATTGGGAAGTAAGAAATGTCCTGAAAATCCCTCCCAGGCCAGAGACCTTTCTTCCTTAACCACTGCCCACCGCACAGGCCCGTTTCCTGTGGCCATCACCTGGGCAGTCTGGGAGCCCCCATGCCCTGAGGCTCTCCTCCCCTTCTTGAAAGGGTATGCGGCACCTTTGCCGGTGGGACATTCTACAGGGTTGTCTAATTTCTTACAGCCTTGAAAACGCGGTGACCAGCAGCTGCTGAGCCATGGCTGAAGGGGAAATCACAACCTTCACCGCCCTGATGGAGAAGTTTAATCTGCCTCCGGGGAATTACAAGAAGCCCAAACTCCTCTACTGTAGCAACGGGGGCCACTTCCTGAGGATCCTTCCAGATGGCACAGTGGACGGGACAAGAGACAGGAGCGACCAGCACAGTAAGCACCCATCTCTTTTGCAGCCCCCTGCCTTCCTGGTGTCTTCCTTAGTCAAGGAGGCAAAGCAGGGAGGCTATCTGCATATGGGTACCCTTTCTCTTCCTGACACACTCAGCAGCAGGGTAACATAAACGTGTACAGGTCTAGGTGTGGGAAATAACACACTGTGAGAGCTACAGCCTACCTAAAGGGGTCCTATATCAAGATTTTAAAAGGACTATCTGTTGACCTAACATAACTGCTTCGAGATCAGATACAGCTGCCAGTGTTCAACTACTGTGGGTTTCTGTAACTAGTGAAGAAGGGCCTGGCCCCCAAAGCTGGTGAGGGCCCTGCCTGCTCTCTGACAGGAGGATCCACGTGAGGCAGGGGGCAGTCAACCCTACACAAAGACCTGGGCTCAGTTTCATGGTCATGGACGCTCCAGCGTATGTTCCCACCGGGCTTGATTTGCGAAATCCTAGTTCATAATCATAGTCTTACACATCATAAATCACGCAGCTTTCACTCTGCGTATCATGCAGATGTGGTTGTGGTAACTGGGAAGGGGTAAAGTCATTCTCCAGACCTTATAGAAACTGGAGAGTGAGAGCAGTGGGAGCCAAATGCTGACTATCTACTCCAGGCTTTCCCGCCAGCTTAGCTCTCAGACGGCGTTGATAAACGGAGGTATGACTTTAGAGAAAAGAATCGTCATGACTATCTAAGAATAAAAATCTTTTCCTTCTGCTTTAGTACTTCTCACGGTGGTGTGTCTGTTTGATATTAGGTGTCTGGGTCCTACTGTGATGTTATCAGGGATTCCCTGAGCCAAAAGTCAGAACTAAGTTCCTGCTTAGAGGGTCAGTGATCTGATGGGTAAAGCACACTGTGAATCAAGAGAAGAAAAGTGTAGGGAAACCAGGAGATACATAATAATAGCACAGGTAGCAAGTAAGGGTCTACAGAACAGGCTTGAAAATGAATGCAAAATACTGACCTTGATGTGATATACCAAATAGTCTTAATTATTCACGTAATATGCACCAAATTACAGGCTGTAAGCACAAACGACCACCTCAGTGGTGCTCACTCTACTCTTAAATGCAAAGGTCGTGGGGTCGGAAGCCGCCATTTATGGACCAGAAGCATTGTCTCTTCCTTCCCACTCACCAGGCAGACCCTTGAGATAAAGAGCAGGAAGGCTGATGTTGGGCCTTGTAGTTGCAGGGTCAGATTTGGGGGGGGGGGTTGTTTGATGGCTTGTCTTCAAATGGGCCTAGTGAATGCCTTATATTTGATAAAAACTAGGTACCAGAGTGAGGCAAAAAGGACTCTATTTAGTACATTAAACATATATATGTATATAAGTAACATTTACTGCCAACAAATGGACTTAGATTGTAGTCCATTGTGTGAGGCAAGCTACACAATTTGTGTGATCTGCTCCCTACAACACAAAGGAAAGAAGTTTTAATTCCTCTGGGATTTTAAATGTTTCTCATAAGTCTTTTTTTTTTTTTTAAGATTTTATTTATTTGACAGAGAGAGAGAGACAGCAAGAGAGGGAACACAAGCAGGGGAAGTGGGAGAGGGAGAAGCAGGCTTCCCGCCGAGCAGGGAGCCCGATGTGGGGCTCGATCCCAGGACCCTGGGACCATGACCCGAGCCAAAGGCAGACGCTTAATGACTGAGCCACCCAGGCGCCCCTCTCATAAGTCTTACCCATCTTCTGAACCAATAGGAATGCTCTCTGGTGCTCAGAATCCCAGGGGAAAGACAACCATTATGCTGTGTTCCTCAGGGTTAGGCTGGCTTTTCTGGGAAATCTTGAATTCTGGGAAAACAAGACACTACAATTAGGACTTCCAAGTACTGGAATTTCTGTACAAATGGCATGTGATTTCACCATTTTCATCCCATCATTAACACTATCAATTGCATTCTGGGTATGTAACATTGGGACAACTTCTGAAAGTGCTGTGAATTTGGCCACCTGACCGAAGAAGTCAGGAACCCCTGGAATGCTGCACCACAAAGCTGTAAGAGTGGGTGTGAGGAGGGCTACATCCAAGTAATGCTGGATCGACTGCCAAGTGAACTTGGGCTAATTATGTAATCTTTCTGGCCTCACTTTTCTCACTTGTAAAATAAGAATACTACTACTTCCATCGCTGGTTTCTTGGGAGGATTAAATGACATGATCGAGCACAGTGCCTGGCTCAGGGTAACAGCTCAGTACAATACTGCTGTTGTTGTCACCATCACATAATCAAGGCTTTGATATATTCAACCCAGCACATGGAAATACAGTATAATATTTGAGGACCTTCCCTTCATTTTTTCTATAATATTGTCTCCCAGGAAGGTCAAGGGTATGGATTCACGTTTTGATTCAGGGCCTCTCTGGCAACATTCAGAGTTGTGTTGGCCTATTTATTTACTCTAGAACTAGGAACAAGGGCCAAGGAGGACAGAAATCAGAGTAAGTGCGGTGAGTGAGGAGAAATCCATCTCTGTACTTGTGAATGCCAGGAGAATGGGATAATCCACATACTCTCTGCAGACTCAAGGGGCCCTAGATTTGGAGTCAGAAAGCTTGAGTTCATATTCCTTCTCCGTCATTTTCTAACTGGGACAGCACTGAACAATGACAATTCTCCCCATTTTGCATAAAATGCTCTGTCAAGTCCCCCAGCCCAAGAACCCTTCCAACCACCCCTCCTGTCTAAAAATGTAGTTGTCTCCAGTGTTCCCAGCTGTCTAATCTTGGGAATAATATTGAGACTCAGCCTCCCCACCTGGGGAATGGGAATAATAACACCGCCCTGTGTGTCTGAAAAGTCTTAAAAATCGCGCAGGCAAGAGGACTCCCGGCATGGCTGTACCCACTGAGTGTGGTTCTGTCGCCCTCTACTGCCCAGTGGCGGTACTGCCACACACCGTCTTCATTTCAAGGGTTATTCTGCATCAGAATCAATCTGGACAGGGCAGGGTCCGAGAGAGTAGATGACCCTGGCTTACCAATTAGCACCGTCTGGCGAGGGGATGGTTTCTATTCCTAGATCATTAGTTTGAGCATTACTAGAGATCGTGGTCACAGGTACACAGCCATACTCTAAGACTTCCGTGAGGAAGAATATTTCTAAAACCCAATCAAATATTGAAATGAATCTACATAAATCATACCAAATAGAACGGCATGCCTTCCAGCTCTACAAGGCAAAAAAATTACTCTTTTCACAGCTTCTCTTTGTCTGCAATCAGCGGATCTGCCCTGGGCAAAACTGGGATGTTTTCAAAACTTATCTTTTTCCTCCTTCCAGGAGAGTAAATTTCCAAGTACCTAACACAAGGCCTTTCTTGGAGTGGTATAAACCTACGACAGATGCTTGTGCGCAGGCCACTGTAACAATGTAGGCCTGAGTAAAATGTCCCCCTAACTCCTCAAACCACGACTGTAGGCAATCATCTATACAGGCTGTGACCATCTGTTACAACGCCATTCTAGGAAAGCCAGGCAACACCAGAGTAAGAGCCGCAGACCATGAGACAAAGCAATGGTGTTAAGGTGCAAGAAGATTCATGGTGATTCCTATGGCTTTCCTTTGGGACATGGGTAGATGGTGGCATCATCTTGAGAAGGAGGATCCTGGAAGAGGAACAGGCACAGGGAAAGATGACCAGTTTCATTTCGGACACAGAGCATTTGAGGAGTGCCTCTTGTACCATGCATATCTCCTGGTAGTTATAATTACACTTATTGTGTGAGCATTTAATGGTTTCCCCACACACACACTAGGCTCCCTGAGGATAGGGACTTTGTCTCTTAGAGTTCAACAATGCAATTCTGTGTCTAGTACATTGACTGGCACTTGGCATAATGCCCAATAAATATGAATTTGATGAGTGAATGAATTGTATTCATGGCAGATAAATTTGAATTCAACAATAAATTCAGTAAATACCTACTGAGCACCTGATATATGCCAGGCATTGTGTTAGATTCTTTCATTTCCACTTAACCATAATCTCACAAAGTTATGAATTATCATCACTCTGCAGACACTGAGCTAACTGGGCCTGTGACCAGTTAATAAGTGGGAAAGTTGAAAGAGGTCCATAGCTTCTTCTTCCAATACTAAGGCTCTTTCCATATACCACTACGGCACCTGACATCAATACCATGATGGTGGTCTCACCCCATGAACTGATTAAATAAACACAGTGGAGGGGTGCCTAGGTGGCACAGTCAGTTAAGCATCCGACTCTTGGTTTTGGCTCAGGTTGTGATCACAGGGTCGTGAGATCGAGCCCCGTGTCAGGCTCCACGCTCAGCATGGAGTCTGCTTGAGATTCTCTCTCCCTCTCCCTCTGCCCCTGCCACTTGTGCTCTCTCTCTCTCTCTCGATCTCTCTCTAAAATAAATAAATAAATCTTTTAAAAAAAAAAAAGAAAAACAAACCATACTGGATTCACACAGCCTGTCATGTGGATCAGAGGGGTGTAGGTGCAGCTCCCTGTTCACTAGCTCCTTGTCCCGCTGGGGAAGTTACTTCCCCACAGGCCTCCGTTTCTTCATTTTAAAAACAGTTCCCATGACTAGGAAAGGAGGAACCTTAAAAGTGGTATAGCACATAGTAGGTGCTCCAAAAATGTTATTCATCATCATCACTCCTAGGCTTACTTGACCTTCTTTCTGTAACCATCTGATCTCTGTAGGCTGTTAAGTTAAATGAATGTTAGCCTTGCTCACGGGATTTAGTCTTATTCTTTATCTCGGTGTCGCCAGGACTGTCTAGGTTTGGGGCTCTCAAGGCCTGGAATGTAGGAAAAATGTGCCAGGCCCAGCAAGCCCTGCCCTGTCTAACTTCTCTGGCAGAGAGAGCAAGCTGTGGTGGGCAGAGCAAGGAGGGGCTCCATGTTTCATTCTGTTCTTCCTGCTGCACTTTCTTCTCGGGCAAAAGGGGACATGATTTGTTCCTCAATGGGTTGAATACCTGAACGGTAACTGGAAAAGA